AGTGGGTAATATCATTATCAACAAAGAAGCATGTATTTATATTGGCATAAGTTATACGCGTTAGATAGATAATTAAATGTATAGATAATTAAACGTAACATTTACATATTTTCAAATTGCACGGGGAAGCTTCTGTCCAAAGTTTCTAAAGCAAAAAAAAGTAAAGTTTTCTGATTATAAAGTGGACAATTTTGTCCAAAATAAAAAATAAAGTTTTCTGAATACAAAAGTGGACAATTTTGTCCAAAATAAAAAATAAAGTTTTCTGAATACAAAAGTGGACAATTTTGTCCAAAATAAAAAGGGAGGACAAAATTGTTGATATGCATTATAAAATACTATCAAATTTATTATATATTAAATGTTCACAATAAGTACAAATATAAATATTATATAGGTAAAATAAAAGTCAAAAAAAGAATTAGTTTAATTGTTCCGGATCCCATTCCTCTTCGCCATCACTATCATATCTTCGAGTAATAGTTGGAAGTATAGAATTATCAATAAAGACCCATGGTACTAGATCTACCGTGCTTTCAATATCTAATGTTTCATCATTCATATTTGTTTCATCAGATTGATGTTCATTAAAACTATCATCATCATCATTCTCACTCATAATTTCTTCTTCTTCTTCAAATACTGTATTCAGCATGAGTTGAATATCATCATCTAACTTTGAACTGCTATCACCGTTACTTGTATAATTTAAGTCTTTTTTAGCATGTTTGAGAGAATAAAGATATATTTTCGCCATTGTCTCTATAGTTTCTGATTGCAAATTTATACGTCTCTTACCAAAGAGCCATCCCATGGCTGAAAATAATCTTTCACAACTTGCCGAGTGTGGGGTTATTGAAAATATTACTTTAGCTAGCCGCGAAAGAGAAGAAAATTTCCCATCAACTATGGAATTCCACCAATGGTAAGCTGTGTCATGAACTGAATAAGACGTGTTATATGGTTCAGAATTATCAAAGTATGCACGAAGTTGTGCATCAAGTTCTAATCCAGAATTTTTTTTATGCCCAAGGTTTTTCCAGATTCGAAGGGCACACTTTCTGAATTTAAATAACAATAAAAAAATAATTACCTCAGTATTTAGGATGAAAGAAGAAACCTAACAAATAGATATCCTCGTCAAACTCTTTATATCTATTAAAAAAATATTTAAAATTAAACATTAATTTTGAATCTTCTATTAAAGATACTAACAAAATACATTACCACTTATTAAAAATGCTAATACAAGAGTTTCTTAACTCTTTATAATCATCAGTTGGCATTGACTTAAAAAATGCTGCGATACGAAGAAGATGCAGATAACAATCTGCTAAAGTTACATTACTTCCTTCTAACATGAGAATTGCTTTTTTTATCGGCTCCAAAATATCCGATAAAATACGAATGTCATCAAAAAACCCTTTTTTTTCAAAATTGCTTTTACAGCTTCATTAGAGATTTCGCGTTCATGATTGTCCAGGACCTAATTGAATAAACATTTTTGTATTAGGTTTAATTATTATTAATTTAAA